TCTCTATTCCCTCTTCTTTACACAGCTCATTTGCTACCACAGTGCCTGTAGCTGAGTCTTCATCTTCTTGATCACTCTTTTCCAGCACTTTCAAACTGCAGCTGAAAAAAGTTCTTTCCATCTCTGATTCTACCCTCCCCCCTCCCCCATCATTGACACTTACCTCATTTATAAGTGTGTGAGACATCTTTATAGAGCACAGAGCTCCTACTGAGAGGAGCAGGATGAATTCTGCACGCGACACCAAATGAGACAATTTAACTTTAGATACTTTTATCTTAAGTTCGGTTAATAAACCTTTTCTCTCAAAGTAACTGTGTCATTATAGGTCATTGTAAAACAGATCGAATAATTAATTACAAAACTATGCAAAGAATGAACTATACATTTATCTCTGTACAGAATTTGCTCTTAATATTTAAATCACTTGTCTGTAATAATAAATACTTGACTAACGAATCAGTTTCTATATAGCATTAAGAAATTTACTTTCAAACTCAGTTTTAGGTGCAGAATTGAACATACATTCTCACTAAAGCTGCAGCAATATGTTAATGATAACGTACATTAAGGCTGGGTCTGAGTGAGCAGCCAAAGAAGTAAGATGTTAAAATATTCAAAGAGAATTCCAGTTTCTCATATGAATATTTATGTTTTCTTCTTAAAATAAAGAGATTTAGTTATGGTTCATTAATTCTGTATGCCTGAATTTAATTTTTAACTGAGTATATGATTGGTTACAGTAAGAGCCATAATCTGTGCTCATCCTACAACGATCCTGTGACTGATTGCACCTGGCAAAGTGTAGATGAAGAGCACCAAGAAGACAACAAGAATAAGTAGAATTATGCCAATGATGATGTACTTCTTGTAATTTCTCCAGATCAGATGATACAAACACTTGAAAGGATTTACAAACCAAGAGAATGATGTGTCTGGTCGGCTAAAGGGGAAGAAAGAAAGAAAAAAAATTGTAAAGGCAGATCCAGCTGTTTCCAAAGGTACACCACTGCAAAATACACATTTGTGTCTAAAAAGGACCTTTGACTGCTGGGAACTGACTAAAGAGTTTAGAGGGAACTTCCGCAAGTTTCATGTACTATGAGGTCACTCTTCTTCCATCTGTGCCTGAGCCTCAGCTCTACATACCACTGGGAATCAAATTCCAGTTCACACTCCTCTTCTCCTTGTGACAGCTATCTGCATTTCACAGACCTAAACTTTTTCCAGATGTTGCCCCATGTCATATTCTCTCCATAGCCAGGAGTTTCTTCACCCTGTATGAAAAAACTGGTTGCATATATAGAGGAAAAAAATGTTCTCCTTAGGAAAAATGTTGGCATAGTCTCTCCTCTGGCATGTCACCCAGCTTGGGAGGTCACTGTGCCTCTGACTTCAACAGCCCTACCCCTGCAATGAGCTGAGGCACCATCCATCAGCTTTCTGTGATGGGATGACCAGCAGAGTACGGTGGTGTGGAGAAATATTAACGCCAGCAAAACTGGGTGCAGGTTGTCTCTCTTATCCAATATCACTGTAATTGTGCAGATGATACAGTAGTATGGAGAATGAAATTAAGACTGAGGGCCACAAAAAGCAACAGCTGTGTCTCACTCTAGAAAGCTGTTTAAGGAATTTAAACAATGTCTTAGTCATCTGGAGAATTCAGCATTCAGCATGTGGAAGTGAATGCCAGTGTACAGAAAGTCTGTAAATCTAAAAGGCCAACAGAATATCTTTTAATTAAAGACTATATTTTATACCGAAATGGAAATGATTCAGAAATAAACAAACAAATAAGCCCTCCAGGTTAAAAGGAATTATTTAAAAAAATTTATACTCTAAAGGGAAAAACTTACTGAGTCACAGACTTGAGTAACAAAACCATTAGTCTGCATGTTCCATCTACTTAAGGGCTTTTCATAACCTTTGAAGACCGGGGAAAAAATATAGACTGATGCTCATTTAATTTGTATTCTTTGCAACGTCAGCAATAGAATTTGGTACCAATTATCACAGAATCATAGAATGCATTGGGTTGGAAGGGACCTTAAAGGTCATCTAGTCCAACCCCCCTGCAGTAAGCAGGGACATCTTTACTAGAGCAGGTTGCTCAGAGCTCCATCAAGCCTGACCTTGAATATCTCCAGGGACAGGGCCTCCACTACCTCTCTGAGCAACCTGATCCAATGATCTCATATTGAAAAACGTTTTCCTAATATCCAACATAAATCTACCCTTTTCTAGTTTAGAACCATTACCCCTCGTTCTATTGCTACAGGCCCTCGTGAACAGTCCCTCCCCAGCTCCCTTACAGGCACCTTTCAGGTACTGGAAGGCCACTATAAGATCTCCCCGGAGCCTTCTCTTCTCCAAGCTGAACAGCTCTAAGTCTCTCAGTCTGTCCTCATAGGAGAGGTGCTCCAGCCCTTGGATCAATTTTGTGGCCCTCCTGTGGACCAGCCCTAACAGGTACACGTCCTTCTTGTGTTGAGGGCTCCAAAACTGGACACAGTACTCCAGGTGAGGTCTCACCAGAGCAGATTAGAGGGGAAGAATCACCTCTCTTTACCTGCTGGCCACACTTCTTTTGATGCAGCCCAGGAATGTGGTTGGCCTTCTGGGCTGCAGATGCACAGTGGTGGCTCATGTCCAGCTTTTCATTCACTACTACCCCCAAGTCCTTTTCCTCAGGTCTGCTTTCCAGCACATCATCTCCTAGCCTGTATCGATAATGAGGATTGTCCCATCCCAGGAGCAGGACCCTGCACTTGACCTTGTTGAACCTCATGAAGTTCACCTGGGCCCACTTCTCTAGCCTATCCAGGTCCCTCTGGATGGCATCCCTTCCCTCTGGCACATTCACTGCACGACCCAGCTTGGTATGTTCAATGAACTTGCTGAGGGTGCACTCAATCCTGCTGTCAATATAATTAATGAAGATATTGAACAGCACTGGTCCCAGTACGGACCCTTGAGGGACACCGCTTGTCACTGTAACATATAGCATTACAGCAGCATATTTGTTATAATGGACAGCATCTGGAAAAGTATCCTGTCTTGATTGGCAGAGATGAAGAGATGGATAACCTCATGATTCTTTGGCCAGCAGGAAACTCCTCTTGCTACACCTTATTTCTCATTTACATGTTTCTCTTTACTTCCCAGACATTTAATCTTTGTCCACCTTTGCTCTGGTACGTTAAAGAGTCTGCTACTGTCCCGTAGCTCCTAGAATATAATTTTGGTTGTGAAATTATTTTGTTTCTTAATTTTAAAACTTGATTACATAAAACAATCTGAAAATTTCTCTGCTTCTCTGTGTGAGCCCATATGATTAGCAAAAAAAAAAAAAAAAAAAAGTGAACCTGCAGTGCTAGCATAGAGATATGGAGGTACTGACACAAAGCTCCTTGAGATCCACTACTGCTGGAAGAGAACTCATTTGAAGTACAGAAACACTTAACTGTTTTCTCTCAGTTGATTGTGACTGCTCTGCATGTATGAACCACATATTCCATCACTCAGGGGCATTGAACTGGTAAAATTTAATACCAGATTTATGGAACTGAGGCATGAAATGTGTTCAGCTATTAGTTCATGTCCTGGTTTTTAGCTGAAACAGAGCTGGGTTTCTTTTTCAGTAGCTAGAATTGTGCTGCGTTTTGCTTTCAGCCTGGGATTTGTTATGAGAGAAACACTGATAAGATACCATTTTCTTTCCTGTAAGCGAGTGACTAGCTAAAATAGAATTTACTATCTACATACTGATATTGCTTTAGTAACCTTGGGATTTATTTCCCCTAACTTTAATACTTAGATGGCCAGCCTAGTCAGTTGAGGGCTGTCTGCATATGGGGAGGAAGGACCTTCTGGAGGACAAGTCCTTCCTTGGGGAAGGACTTTTCATAAGGGCAATTAATGACAAGACAAGGGGAAATGGGTTTAAACTGAAAGAGGGTAGGTTTAGATTAGATATTAGGAAGAAGTTCTTCACTGTGAGGGTGGTCAGACACTGGAACAGGTTGCCCAAGGAAGTTGTGGATGCCCCCTCCCTGGAAGTGTTTAAGGCCAGGCTGGATGAGGCTTTGAGCAACCTGGTGTAGTGGAAGGTGTCCCTGCTGGTGGCAGGGGGGTTGGAACTAGATGATCTTTAAGGTCCCTTCCAATCCTAACCATTCTATGATTCTATGAATTAATCTCTTTCACCACCTCCCATCTTAAGATATGTGTGTTAGGTAAATGGATGACTTCCCTCACCTGTGCATGAGCAGCTACAAAAGGAGCCTCAATGGCTTGCTTCTGAGATGGGCAATGTCAAATGAGACTAGCCCTACCCTAATTTTAATTTAAGTGAGGCACACATAGCAATTAAGAGTAGAAATATGTTGAGCCATGTGTTGACTGTGTATTTAATCAGAAAAACCTAGATGTGGAGCCTCTCTGATTATTCAGTGCAAGATCTAGAGGAAGACTCCGGTTTTGTGCCTTCTGGGTCAAAACACATCCAGGGTGTCTGTGCAGCAGAGAGGGGGCCACCAAGCTAATGACAATCTTTTGGCCCAACAGCACATTTGCAACTAAAATGCCCTTGAGGTGAAAACGCGTGGAGCCCTGGGGCCCTAAGCTTCCTGGGGTGCATGGGCTGGGTCTGAAAAAAGGAGAGAAAAATGGGACAGTGCCTTTGTGCATCCTGTTGACAACCTTGTGGACATGTAATCTTTCTATTACACACTACACTCCCTCCTAAAACTGTCCAGGCTGATTGCTTCACACCACGTGTATTTCAGAGCAATTCCAGTTCTCTCTCTCTAAGAGAGTGCTTTAGCTTCCATTACTGGGAACCTTGCAGACAGACATCTGTCAGGCATAGCTCATCCTGCCTTTGGGTAAAGATGTTGGTGAAATGGTTGATTAAAGTCTTTCCAAGGCTAATTTTCAACAAGTCTCCAATACCTCTAATTTTCAGGCTGAATTTACACTTTATAGTTATTCTCAATATAATAAATATAATCTGTCTGGTCTTTATAGGTAACCAGACTGAGGTGTTGGGTGTATGCATAAGTTATGATGGTCGAAGAGGTTATCATGTGCCAGGTCAGCTATGGAATGAGCCCATGTGTGAACTCTAGCTGAGGACAAATGTGCAGCAATGCGATTTGTAATTCCAGGGGAAGGCATTTCAGCTAACCTGGAATGTGCTGACATCTCTGAGTGCCAGCAGCCAGGCTATGCACAAGGTGAACCAATGGTTTCCTCAAGGTTACAGCAGGAAAGAGCAGAAAAGCCAGAAAAAGAGCAAGGAGACCTGCTCTTCCCAGTCTCCTGTGGAACTCCCCTGCCCCAACTTACTTAATGAGTATGCTTCTACTCACTTGGGTTTTTCCAAGGGCTCAGGCTCCTTTCGAGCTTTGCCTACTGGATTCTTCTCAGCTTCTTCTGCTGTGACTAAGTGAAACTCGGCTTCTACCTTGCCCTGGATGAGAGAGATCATACGTAAGCATCCAATTCTGAGTTATTATCACCAAATCCCAGAGATCTGGATACACCTAAAAAGACTCCAACCACATTAATCCTAGAACTGGATTGCAGGGATGCCTGGGTTTGGGTCCAAGCTCCCAAAGTGCTCTGTGGCCACGTGAGCACAGCAGCTTGGGTTTTCCTTCACTAGCTCACACAGCTCTGCTTCGTGCTCTGTTTCATGTAGACGTGCCCCAAAGACCACGTGCAGAGTTAACTATCAGGATGTACTCCTTGCCTACGTACATGCACTCCACCTAGGAAACAGAGGAGCAGAGCTGTCTCTCATTTACCCTGAGGATCCCTGTACTGTTGTAATGGTACAAAGCAGCTTTAAAGACATGGAAAATGGAGAAGTTGAGTTAAACAGTGTAGCTCCAGATTATACTCAGAAAGCACTACAACTTTATGAAGAGAAGCTGCAGAAGAAAACCCTGAGATAAGTGACTAGGTACATGCTGAGTGAGATTTACATCCTATTGCAAGCTTTGTTATGCTAGAGGCTTCAGGTAAATGAAAATTTGTGTGGCAGCATTTATGTTCTTAGGAGGATACTTCTAACATATCAAGTCTTGTAGAGTTTGGGGGAAGCTGACATTGTCCTTTGCATTCCTTTATACCAATTGTGTCCTGCCACTAAACCAAAAAATATTGGCTTATTGAGCACACTTCATCAAAAAGAGGGGACTGTGCTCTTTCTACTTGAGATGTGTCACTAGTAAGGAGAATAATGGTAGACTCCAAAATCAGTTCCTTTGCCCTGGTTGAAGTTAGAAATAAATAGTAAATAAATAAATAAGCAGGTGAGATTTCTCCTAGGATTTCCTTAGCTGACATAAAGTTGTCTGGAAACGTGGTTTTCCACTCCTCCTACTCAGTGTGCTGGGACATGAACATTGGAAGAAAGCAAAGAAAAAGTACAAAGAAATGCTCTAGTTGCCTGGGATTATCTGAACCACATCTATGGGAATCACTAAAGCATTTGGAGGAGTCTCATGGATTGCCAGTTATGGTTGTTCTTCAGATGCCACATCCCAGATTAGCATCTGTCTGTCTCAGGATCTCAGCAGAGCATACTAGTCCCAGAGAAAAGCTGTTCATCTGTAGTGAGCTGCCTACCGTGAGCTCCCCAGCCTTGATGAAAGGCCACCAGCCTCTGACGCGCTTTTGCTGAAATATGGAGATCGTGTTTTCTTCACTTGCTGCCACAACTATGCCTAGGTCACAGCTCTTGGCTGTCTTTGCTGCTCGAGGGAATCCATTAAGGTTCAGTTCAAGAGTGCCTGGAGGGAGAAATAATGTGACAACACTCAGAGACCAGACAGAAACAAAGGCATTCAAACAGTAGCTTCCAGATGAGATACATCGAACAATCCAGCAGCTGGGGCCTAAGCTTCAGAGCTGGGGATCTCTCTGCACTATTATTAATTTATGTTGCCCTTGCATTGTCTCATCTGAGTTCCTAATTATTCCCTTTCCAAGAAACATGTAAGTTTGCAACGTGGTGCTTCGGAGAAAGAAAAACAAATGTTGAGTCTCAAACACAGTTTTGTACATATCTCTGCAAAATACAGGTCTGTCAAGATCTCAGGTGAAGTTCAGGCAGATCCATTGCATACTTACCCAAGAAATCATCTGAAGAGAGTCTTTCAAAGTCCCACACTTGAAGCACCAGCTCAGCAGGTATTTTGCGCTCTGTCTTTTCCAAGGAAAATATGTTTTCTCTTTTACTAACCACCATCTGTTTCTCTGCTGGGAGATAGTGGAACGGGAACACAAAGCGCCAGTTGAAGTTGCCCTCTCCTGTCAAGGAGTTGTAATGTACATCTGTCTCCTGCTTGTCTTCCTCCAGGCTCTTTATCCACCTATGGCAAGCATAGTGGAAAGCACTGTTGTCATCAGGGAGCTTGAACTGTGGTTGTTGTTATTTGGTTACAGGCATGATCATTTACTAATTCCTACCCAATCAGTAGGAGGTAACACACCATTCAGGACTCAGCCCTCGCTTGGGGATTTCAGCCACGGCCCAGCCATGGCACAGCCTGAAGCAATGGCTAGTGATGATCAACAGCTGAGAGTGAGAACATGAGTTTTGTTTTGATCAGACCCCAAAATACCAGTTGGCCATTTGCTATTGGCCAAGACATCTGTCTTCTTTGGGACAGGCAAAACCAGCATCAGTCATTTATCTGCTACTAATCGCCCTGTATTCCTGTTGTGTCACACCAACAAATTGTCTGTCAATGTCCCAAGACAGTGTTCAGTATTAGAGCCTAAATTGTTTGCAGTTACTGTTTGGGGGTATAAACATGGCATAGGTGTGGTTGGAGAAGTCTCTGTTTTTTCTTGTGATTTCCTCTTGTTTCTCCTCAGCATGCACAACATCAGATGTGCAATGCTATGATGCAAAAGGACAACGCTTTTCTAAACCAAATCTTCTCTTCTGAAGAGCTCCACTGAGGTAATGATCCAGCTAGGTGTGTTTTACATCTAAAGATGATTTAGCACAGCCTGAGTAAAGATTAGCATTTTTGTGCTGCATTCAAAGAGTGGCTTTTCCCCTGCAAGCCCCATATTTTCAAAAAGCAATTGGGAAAAATAGTAACAATCTCAAGCACGGCACTGCCGCAGTGCAAATCCATGCCTGGTGACAGATTTGATGCCACGTGGACTGTCTGAACATAATGAGATTTGTGTCTTCATTAAGGCACAGAAGCAAAAAGTCATCCGCTCCTGGCTTTCCCTGTCAGACTGCTCTAGCATTGATAGTGATGTTCTCACATTAACACACAGCTTGACACAAAGGCTGGCTCCCTATTCATTTCCTCAATTCTGCACTCTCAGAGCTGCTCTGCTACTGCTCTGAACGTGTTAGTGTATCGCTAAGTTGGATATATCTGTGTGAATACCTGTGATTTCAGAGTAGCTCCTCTCAGGGAACTGCAAGGGGAGGTTTGCTCAGCCAGTATGTGTAATAACCACACCTGCAGCACACTGGGGGCCAAACGGTTGTTATCAGTGCATGCTTCACCTGGACTAATATCACCTCCTCCAAAGGAACAGTACCACTCCTGGTCCCTGACACAAGTTTCTGCAGTAAAATGCTTGTAGACATACCCTACGCAGGAGTAAGAGCTGCTACCAGCCTGCCCTGTCCTTATGCTTACTTTGGATTTCTTATTATGTTCACATGATTTTCAGAACCTACAAAGTGGAAGACCTCCTCCCTTCCCTGCTCCACCAGTCCCAGTGCTCCCTCCTCCAGCGCTTTGCATTTGGTCATTGGCAGTACTGCAATAGGTGTTTTAGCAAAATTCATTTTTCCATATGCCTAACGCTCTACAGATTAAGATTTTTTCCAGGACTCCACAATTGCATAATTCATATTGGCATATTAATCTCACTCTCTAGTAGTGGAACCACAGCAAGAAATCTAAGACTTGTCTCACACCTGAGATTACCAATAATTCCTACTGCCAGTCATGTCATAATTTCCCCCCATCCCCCTCTGGTACCTGCATTCCAATCCTGCTCAGAAGCAGAAAGTGCAAAGCAATACTCCAAAACAGGCAAGTAATTTTAAGAAGTAACCTGCTACAATCTCAGGAAAGAGATGGTTTGAGTGTCAAGCTGCCCTTTTGCTCTCTCTCTTTTCATTTTATTTATGGTTTACTGATTATCTCAGTAACATCTGAGAAGCTGTAACAAATATTTTTTTCTGCTGCGGGGAGGAGATGGAGAGTAGAAATTGCCTGTGGGATGTTCTCCCCAGAATGGCCATGGTCATTCACTCACGCATGCTCCCCACATGAGGTTAGAAAATATTTCCAATAGAAATAGCCTGGTAAACACCTGCTTTCTTCTTTCTAATGTGGTCATAATTCCCTTTTCGCTGATTATGTCAAACCTCTTTGCATCTGTGTAAATTCTTACAGTTTAAGTTCTGTAAGTGTTTGACCTCTGTTTGCTAAACTGTGGACCTGTTCTCTTCTTGTGCCATCTCTGCCTGAGTAGGAAGTAAAGACTAGTGTCATTTTACAGTTACTTGATTTTAAGAGGAAAAAAGAAGGAGTATCCAGTATAGATGAGTAATTTGGGCAGGCATTTATAGCAAAGTGGCAAGGTCACAGAAATAGCTTACTGGATATTCTTACAACATTAGTTTTTTTGTCTGATTTTTGAATTAAATCTTACATGTTCTTTTGAAGACAAGTCCTGAAGAACTTACCCTTTTACATAGATATCACTTGATTTTTGCCCTGTAAAGATATTTTCATCTTCTAGAATTACATCTTCTGTATTCCAGATTATTACCCTCAGTTCATAGCTGAAAAAGAAAAGAAAGTAGGTATGTAGGTACTCAAGTTCTGGTCAGACACTAATATAAACCCCTATCAAATCCTGCTTTTATAAAGTGTGAAATGTTGTATTTGTGCAAAAATCTTAAAATAGCACCAAGATCAGGCCTCTTTTGTTTACAAGAGTCTACAAATAAAGTGGGGATGGTGGCTCCTCTCAGCTCTTGGAGTATGCCGGATGACAGCAGGATCACTGCAAGCTTCGGAGGGATGGAAAATTCCTTGCTTTTTATGTGTCTGTTCCTTTTCAACACTTTTCACAAAAATATGCAGTGAAACAAGGCAAAGTTGATCTGAACAACATCATCAGAACAGTTTTCAAAGAGTGAGCAGCTTGCTAATAAAAACCAGAGCTCCCTGGGAGGTGCTTTTCAGAAGAAATGCCTAAAGACATTGTATTTGGTGCAATCCAGTGCTTTAAAAGGGAAGAGAAACACAGTTTAAAGATATTTTCATTTAAGTGAGTGCAATCATCTTTAGAAGCAAAAATAAAAGGAGTTAAATCTTTCCCATCCTTTCCACTCCCTATATACAGCCATTTATGGTGGCCATCCAAAGCTCTAGAAGCTTGAACTGAAATACAGATGTTGTAGGTGACATAAAAAATTTATACTAAAAAATTTAGGTATGCCTTGTGTCATTGTATGAACTGCAAAATAAAAAGAACTATTTTTGAGAACCCCAACATATGATTTTTCTGATATGACATATGTTATCTTGGAAACAGCCTCAATCTCAGGTGTGAAACAGTTTTCCCCAGAAGTAACCAGATAGCCTAGGTCATGGAGCTCTTAAGGAGATGCCAAACATGAAAACCAAGCCTCTGTACTAGCTAAAGAAACTTCTATCTGCAATGCTCCATCAGAGACTTGTTCAGTTGAAGATCATCAATGAGAAATGTTTCCCCAAAGTGTTTGAAGTCTTACAGAGCCTGGAGCCTGTTTTGCTGCAGCAAATACACATTTCTCAGCAAAATGTGTAACTCATGTTTGTGTGCTCAATTTCTTTCTCATAATTAAGGGTTTGACAATATTTTTCCCTGATTTTGTAGACTACAAAAATGGCAGCAACAATTTGGTATTGTGGGTATGATTAGTTTTAAAAATTTTTGGAGTGGGAAATGCTTGTTGATGAAGAGTTTTATAGAAAATTCTGGTCTGAAGAAAGTAGTTGTTACACACTCTTTTTGTCAAATCTTGGCTTTTTTAAAAGGAAAGGAAAAGAAAAGTTTTTCTTATATTGTTTCTTGTTCAAACATAAATAATCCAAGAATAGCATCTGATGCTGTTTCAAACACAAAATTCTCAGGAAAGACATTGCTATAAAAGACATTGGAATAAAGCTGATACAAGATGAGAACTCTGTTGCTCTTTTTGGTTTACAAACACTCAATTAACTTAAAGAACTATGTGTAGTGTGGCATATAAAGCAGCATCAACACCTGTGTGAAATATGAGAGAAGATTATTCCAAAATATGTCTCTTTTATCTGTTTCTGCTTTATGTGGTTTTTTTTATCTCTCTTTGAAAAAAGTGTTGGAAATCCAATAGGTATAATACTATTGCATCAGATTAAAGATCTCAACCAGTGTCAAGTAAGTTATCTAGCTGAAAGAGGTAATGAAACCAGAATTAATTCTTTCAGCTCAACAAGTGGATGATAATATCAGAATTATTAAGGGATTCTTGCCTCTAGCCACCTGTGATCTCTAAATGGAAAAGGGATATTTTTCTAAAACAAGTGTGTGATAGCACTTGATGAACAAAGTCACCAACAGTTCTTTAAGTTGTTTAATGGAGAAGACCAGACTAGATGCTCTCGTTTGACTTGAAGTCATGTGAACCTAAGAAAACTTTTCTCTCAGGATCATAGAAGTTTGTTGTGATAGTTCTTTTTATAGTTCTTTCCAGGCACTTCAGAAAGACTCAGTCTTTAAAGACTTATGCCACTGTGCTGAGAGGAAAACATAGAGTATTACCCTTTGGGTTTTCTTGGTGAAATATCCACTGGGGGCCCGGGCAGAGGCATATCTTTAGGAAACATGTCGACCCACATTTGTATACGACCCTTGAAAACAAAGAGATAAACATTTCTGTAATCCTCTTTTAGAGAGAGTTTAAAAGGCTTTAAATGTACTTCTGATGTCCAGAACCACCACTTTCTATAAAAGCAGCAACCAGCTCACTATCCTGTAACTATCATTTCATCTATAAACTTACTATAAAATAATTTTTTTTCATACACTTATTCTATCAATCTCTCAGGAACTGAGTGAAGTTGGAACTGAGCTCAGACATTGGCAACTTCCAGGTAAATCCATATCAAAATAGCATGCGATGAACAGAAGGAAAGAATCAAAGTCTAAATACAAGCAGAGTTTTTCTTAAATTCATAAACTAAAGCAGTTAAAAAAATGAAAAGATGCAGTTACACCTCTTGTGATTACTGTGTATTTAGGTAACTGGCTGCATACATACATGTGTGACAATTTCCAGGTTGATACTGTACAAAGTCTCATGTATGGTACACTTGGATGCTGTCTCAGTAAGTTTGCAGATACGAATAGAAACCACAATAACTGGAGGAAAGGAAAACTGCTCTTGGGTCTACCATCCCCACCACCTCTGAACTGCTCTACCTGTTCCATGCCTGGCTTATCCTTATGGTAGAGAGGCCGAGTCTCAATGTGCTCTGGGACCAGTTTGTATCCAGCTCCAGGGATTTCTTCCCATGCACGTAAAACCTTTAAGGAGAGATGTTCATACGATTCAACTGGCTCCTCTGTAGGAAAGAGTTAAAAAAAAAAGAACAAAGAGAGCTGAATACAATGTTGAACCCCTTGGTAATTAATAATTACTTTTCCATTAATTATTAAAGATGGTAATTAAAAAATTGGTTGAGTTAGAAGGAAGATTTTATGTATCCCAGCTAAGTAAAGAAGGACGTTGAAATGCGTTTAATTCTTGTAAATAAGGGTACCCAGCGGGGTAACTAGAAGATTAGCACTTAGGCAGCAGTTTATCTGTAGCACACAGTGAAGCATTTCACTATTACAGCAGCAGTTTCCAACAGGAAGATGAAAGAAACCTGTGAACTACTTTTTTTACAGAAATTTGCAAATGTTACAGCTCAAGAAAGACAAGGAGGCTTGGATTTTGGTGGAGCTGACAGTAAATATGCACTAGTAGTTATATCTACACCTCATTTTGCCTTGTGATGGCAACAGCAAAAACCCTCCTGGAGAACCAAATCACCCTTCAAGGGAAGAGGGTTGAAGTCCATGGACAAGAACATGTCACCTGACCAGCTCAGCTTGGCCACTGGAGGAAGGGAGACCCCAGAGAATGGCACCTCAAGGAAGGACCAGTGCTAATATTGAAAGCAGGGTGATTTTGCAAAGCAGAGAAAGTCTTTTGAGCTCTTGAGCTTTTCTTTCCTCCCTCTTTGTGTGGGTTCCACAGAAAAGGAACCCAGACTTTTAAAGAGGGATATCTCCTAGATTAGGAGAAAAGTACTCAAGTGAGAAGAAAGTTAAAACTCCTTTGTATCAGCAAACTGTTATCATTTTTCCATTGACTGTTGCTAATTCTGAGTTGCTGGTAGGTGACAAAAGATTTGTTTGGGATTTAAACAGTAGGCATTAATCCCTTCCTAATGGCTCAAAGAGTGAGGAAGGATGACCTTGTGGTTGTGAGTCCTGGTTCCCTCTTGGGCACAGACATGTGTTTGAGATGTGGTGTATTTCATCTAATTTTAGCCAGCTAAAAACAAGGTATTTAGAGTGAGCTACTAGTCAGGCAGCCTCAACAGCAAGGACATAGTTTGTCCCATGATAACCCATATTCTCTCTAAGACATCTTTCTAAAGATTGTTTTCACCCTCTCAAGAGGCCTATTTCTTCCCATTGGCTACAAGTAATCCTAGACTACCTGGGAGTGGTGGTCAGGTAGTTGGACTAGATGATTGTTGTATGTCCCTTCCAACTGAACTATTCTATTCTATTCTATTCTATTCTATTCTATTCTATTCTATTCTATTCTATTCTATTCTACTTCTATGCTCCTACAACAAAGTTAAATTATTCTTTCCCTTGCAATGTAAAGCTAGATGTAAGGCCCACAAATATCCTTTTTTCCACCTGTAAAGTGGAAATCGTACTGCTTCCCCTTTTCATTACTCCTCTAGAGCTCAAATCTGTGGTCTTTGTTAGTTTTACAGATCCAAATTATGACCAGCACAGAAACCCAGCGGGAAATAAGGACCCAGATGTACTGTTCAGAAGGGCAATCTGGATAAGAATTATGCAGAAGACTGTATGCTGTAAACTATTTCTTTATAACATGGTGAAAAACTTGTGTACATAAGGACTTTGGACTTTGCCATCTGGTTCTGTATTTCCTTGCTTCTGGTTTCCATCATCTTGTCTAATGTTGGTTTGTCTGAAGCTCATTTTAGTGAACCAGAATTTTGATTGAGAGGTCCTGTTGCTGGTAGTCACACTCAATCATCTGCTAGTGAGGAAAACAAATGGCAATACTGGAGTCATAAATCTCAGGTCAAGAAACCAAAAATGGATCAAGTCTTCTCCCTTCAACAGTGATACTTCAGCAGTCTTCCACATAAGTTGTGAGTTATGTTTAGCAGCTGCCACAGGGAATTTGCTCAAAGATTGATATACACGGGTAGGGGATTAAAGGTTTCCCTATGCTGCCACAGTGCCCACTACTGTCTCCAAGACCAGCTCCTTTTGTTCCCCCTTGAAAGTCTTCATTCTCACACCTCTTTTCCTTACCCTAAGTAAAAAACTAAATCATAGAATGGTTTGAGTTGGAAGGGATCTTTAAAGATCATCTTGTTCAACCCCCTTGCCATGGGCAGGGACATCTTTCACTGATAGCTCTGTACCACTCCACCCCTATGTGATATGGGCATTCAACTTCCTGCTAACTTCCACTTCTTTTAATCTGGGAGCTCTGAAAACAAGTTCTGTCCTGCCCTCTGGATGCATGGACCCCACAGATGTCTGGATTTACACAATGCTGTGTTAGTGCTTCAGAAGAGCAGTCAGAGTGGTAATAATCAAGAGGAAAGAAGAAAAAAAATAAAAAACCAACAGAGAGGAAAGCCAAGTAGGTGAGGTAGGTCTGGCAGGTAAGTGCCCTGGAACCTAACCGTGGTCAAATAGAGACTTGTCTGACCTTGAATAACACACTTCTGTATTTCCTTTCTACTTCTCACTTCTTGGGTCTGTCTACACTAGTGTTTTAGTTTTTGAAAATACTCCCCCTGACTTCCTGCACTTTGATTTGCTGTGTGGAAGGATCTCAGACCATGCAAGCTACCCTCATTTCAGATAAAACTAATCCAGAAGACATGTTCCAAGAAGGTCCCCTGCACTCCAACAAATCCTTAGCATCTCATCCTTGGGATCAAGCAGGAGCTAGTCCAAAGTATCCCCCAACACCTACCATGGGGATGCCAGGACATCAGCAATAACCCTCTCACCCTACAGATTCTCTGCAATTAAGCTACAGCAATAGCTAATATAGACAAAACCTTCATCACCACAGTTACGTGAGTATTTCAAAGCAGAGACAGGTTCCAGTAACGTGACTCTATAGAGTGCATAGCACAATGGAGCCCCAGCTATAATTTGGGCAGGTTCTTGGTACTGCTACAATGCAGCTGAAGGATGATGAACTACTTCATTACCGTTCTCATCTTCTGTGAAGACTGTCTGTCCCTTAAAGATTTTTGTTCCTACTTGTATCTCCCCTGGTTGCATGAAAGGTCCACTTATTCTGTAGTCCTTACACAGCTTAGTGAGGATCTCGCTTGGCTTGGTTGCATCTCGCCACGCATTGTACCCTTCTCTGCAAGGAGGGAACAAAGAGAGAAGAGACATGGGGTGAGGTTTTCCTTCAGTATTGGTAAATCAGGACTTCCCATTCAGATTCCCCTCATGGTGAGCAGCCCTAACATTTGCTCAGCCAAACTTTTCCTTTGAATTGTCCAGCACTAGTTCATACTTGAGACATCCCCTCTGTTTGCTCAGGTCCTGGGGCCAACAACTCTTTTCTCTTAAAAAAGAAGGGGTTGAGGCAGCCTTACCCTAGATAAAGTAGCCCAGGCATTGGCATGCTCCCCAAGATGAAAAGGACCACAGTTCATTCCCTGTTCTGCCTAAAGGATCCATATCTACATGTTCTACCTCCATTTGAGAAGCGTTCCACGGCTCCCGCACTCTCACATGCAGAGGAGAAGCCGAGATTCTCGGGGATGTGGAACAAGCACATAAAGAAATACCTCACAGTGGAGACTGAGCTGGCAAGGGAAGTCTTGGGGTTTGGTCTGTGCTCCTGGATTGCTTTTTTACATTGTTCACCCTTTGTTTGCAGATAAAACAGAGAAATAATCATAGGAGAAGAACCCCAACCCACATCTGCCAGGTTAGTGCCCTACCCCAGAGCAATGGTGTTATTTCAGTTTGACTTTCTCTGCATTAATTAATCTTTGTGCACAATGTCCTTGAGAGTGCAGCTGTATGACAGGGACCAGCAGCTCAGCACCACTGCCTTGTGACTCCCCTCTGTTACAGAGGCCATGCCAGCAACCCTGCTCTGCTCCCGCTCCCCCAGTCCCACTGGCCTTGCTGCAATCACTCCAGTTGCAGCTGAATAATGGAGAGCAGAGTAAAGCCCTGTCATAACTTCCCTGACAGATCTTTTCTCCACTTGCCCTTTATGCCTGTCCAAAGGCAGTATGTCAAGCAGGTATGTTATACATATCTATCTAAAATACTTGGTGAACAAACAGCGTTCAAGATCTAAAATATTTGGTGAACAGTGTTGTTACTTTTAAACTATTCACTTCCTACTGAGGCTGGCAGCTATCCAAAGCCACGTCTAAGCTCTTTGGTGAATTTTAATTAAAATACCTCCACTGACACTTTGGTGCTGGAGAAAGCACAATATTTAGCCGCATCTGGAATTTCTCCTTCAAGTCAAATAATTCACTGTGTGCTTTGTTGCTGTCTGAAGAGGTACTTACATTTCATATTGACTTTGTAACCCACAGGTAGCTCGATGCCTGCTGTAGAAACGATTTTCCAAATCAATTTTAGTCTCTCCAATGAGATCATCTGTTCCCACAAAGTCATGGTCATAGATCAGGACTGTGAGCAAGGAATCTTTAGGGAATGTAGCTTGGATTTCAAATGATCTACAGAAAAAATTGAGACCTACATGCAGTCAAATCAGTTTTGAAGCCTACAAGACTAAGTTAATGAATACTGTGCAAACAAGGTGTGAACAGTGTCTGTTCTAACAAGCGGTGGGATTTCTTTGGTAGTTTTTTGTTTCAATGAAGTATCTGAGCATCCTGGAAACACACAGTGCAAAAGTATTTTCCTCTTCCTGCTTCCCTACCACCCCCTGTACAATTCTACATTTGTTCTTACCTACAGTAGACAGAGCAATGGGACAGAGCTGGTCAGCTGCAATGATTTATCCTGATCCAGTAGAGGTGGAAGGATGAAAATTACAAGGTTAATGAAGCTGTATGTAAGAGTTCATCTATGCTTTTCAGAACCCCCAAAAGGGACATCTGAGTGTTTTCTGTTTTGTTCCAAAAACTCTAGGTTAAACATTGAACACAGAAATCTGGGGGCATCCAACAAAATGATCAGGCAAAAGCTTTAAACAAGTCTCAAAAAAGCAAAGATCAGAACTCCCTTGTCACTAAGTGCATTTTTCAGGGATAGGAATCATTGTCATTGAGATGTTCAGGGAAGCTGAAAATATAAAAGTCATTTTAAAGGGGATTTCACATAGTGGAACACAGGACATCCTCATCAGCACAACACTGGCTCCAGATTTCTCCAAAGTACAGGCAAAACTGAGCTTTGTCTCCTGAAGGATGAGTTTTGTCCTTTTTCTCAAAGTGGCCTAAGTCAATTTTATAGTGACAGTAGAACAGTTTTTGGAGGACAGAAAAGTTGGGGAATGGTCTGGGATTGTTAGAGGTTGTTGGTGCCATGCTGGCCAGGGCTTCTCGGGTGATGAGTGGTGGTTACTATGACTGACTCTACTGCTGCGAAAGAGTTGCTGGTCACCCCAATGTTGCCAATGGCAGCAGCATCAAGGACTATCCAAATGAACAGCCCATTCCTCACCTTGACTAAAACAAACACAGTGGCGATTTCCCATTCCATCTATATGCATCTGTAATGGCTGTGCTTTACAGCTTATCATATGATGGTTCAGTTGCAACCTCTACTGAGGAAAAGCTTAAATCACAAAAACTGAGATGGCATGCTATGGAGGGACCACTCTGTTCTTGTCTTTTGCCCTTACATTTTTTTCTTTAAGTCTCCACTTTTTCTGACAGGACCCTGGCCTAGCGGGCTTTCAGTCCAACATACTATAGTTTGTCTTAGTGTTCTTACAGAATAACTCCATCCCAAGTCAAAATATTTTCAACCTTCTTTAAACAGGGAAACTTACTGGGAAAAGATCGCAGCTATTAACAGTAACAATATAAACAAATATAAAGCATTGACAATAAAAAGTTGATGTTTACTGACAGCTTGCCTCTGGCTCCCCCATTCAGAAGGCTGTGTGGAGTGGAAAATGGAAATGTGAGTTAAAAAAACTAGGTTTTTTTGTCCTAGTACTAAAATTATGAGATTTATTTGGCAGTCTGTTCAACCTGAAATAGCAACAAAGGCTGTGAAATCATGCTTTACTATGCTAATATTTATTTCACTTTAAAACTAACAATTGCATTAACTTGCATAGACAAGATAATTTGCTGCCTCATTTCCTCTCATGTACCATTTTGCAAAACCTCTCACAGATTGCATTCTGTGACATGTCTTGACTGGCATGAAAATGAAATAATTTATAATCATACAGGGTGATATCAATTCTCAAAATTTTAACCAAGAGAATTACAAAACATCCAAACAGGCAAAAATCAGCATGTAACACTTTATAGCAGTAACAGCAATAGTGGTGGCAAATGATAAAGAAGAAATCACCCCTGAATAAGAAAATAAGCCATCACTGACCTTCCAAATACCGGGTTTAGCTGCTTGGGGATGTAGTTTTCCCTGTCTTTAATTTCTGTGTTGCCCAGTCTCAGCACAATGTAGGGATCTGACTTGCCATCTGGATCAGCTGGGCTGAGGTTAAATGCCTGTTAGGAAGAAAGACTGTGTCCTCAAGAAGCTTGCTTAAATGCATCATGGTCATGACACAGGCCTATGGGTTTCCTGTCCAGTCCTGGGGTTCTGGAAGTGCAGGGGCTTTGATTGCCTCACGTAATATAAAATTTGTAATTTAGCTTTGCATGTTACTGGCAAAAGTTGATCTGGAGGAGAAGAGAGTTTGCAAAGGTGGAACAGATGTAAGTGCTGCCCCACCACTAAGATACAAAAAGAGATGAGCAGGAGAGGCAATGCTGAGGAATAAGCTGGCTGCACAAGTGAATGCAGGGTTCATGGAAGGTTTCCCAAACATACTGTTCCAGATCCTTGAACAGTGCAAAACAACTCTTCAGACTGTATTTATGAGATGGCTTGGAAATCACTATATTCAAGAAATAAAACAATCTCTTCCTATTCTTCTGTTTTGTTTGCCTTTGTCTCTTTGCATGCCATTCTTCCCCTCTTAGATTACCTGCAACTCTTTTGTATCCCTGAAATACCAGCTCCTTTTACCCCTTTTATGTTTCATCTCGCGCTCTCTCATCATCTTGTCCTCTATGTTTCTACCTTTTTCTGCCCCATAGCTTATTCACATCTACCACGTGCAATTCACAGTCCTCAAAAAATATGCTCCCATTTCCCTCTTACTGACTTTTTGTTTAAATGTGTGTCATTTTGAAACCCTACTGATTAAAACTGTCTGCATTTGTGTAACAGGACACAACCTCCTGGAACAGGTTGTCCATACTATATTAGTTATGTCTCTAGCCCTTTCAGTTTGAACAAGGAAAGTGATTCTCCAGTCTTGTGTTGAACACCCATTTCTACAACATGAAACATTGTTGGAAATATGACCCCCAAAAAAATCTACCACATGGATGAGGATTTTCAGAAGCTTCACTGCAAAGACATTGGAGGTAAACTGAGTTGAAAAGAAACGTCCAAGTTATTTCAAGGTTAAAAGAACATCTCTCTACTTACTGCCACAATATAAACCCTGATGAGGACTTTGACAGAGTGGTTTGGTGGTATCCCTTGCAGGATGCGAGGCTGCCCTCCGTCCAGCAAGCTGCCATCCTCAGGACTTGGGTATATGCAGAAGGAGCCCTGGTAATACACTGTCTTTTATCTCCCTCGAAAACAGATCAAGTGCAATAAAAAAAGAACCCTTTGAATGCAAACAAAACATCATTCATGCAGCCTGTGCTGCAGCACATACACGCACAACACACTTTATGGCACCACTCAAAGGAAACGTAGGTTTCAGTGCACTAAACATAATTTTTTAAAATGTCCTTGCTCTATAACCTGGTACTATCATCACATCTAGATGATTGCAAGAAGTACTTGTGTGCTCTTAGCTCTCTATTTTATTACTTGAAGGACTAACACCTGCAGGTCTTCTAAATCTAGTTTTCTTAGTATTAATATTCTAAAAATAATATTTTGCCTTTAACTGTATGTTTGCAAATTGATAATTCCACTGGGTTATTTTTACAACTGTATTTTTGCAGCCATCATACAACTCATATAAATCAATATTGACTCATACTGCTGAGTAGCTCATGCTGCCTGAAACCAACTAGCAAGTCATTTCAACAGAAATTTGCATTGCAAATTAATTGAGGTGTCAATGAGTTTAATCAGTTCCTCTAAACTACAAAGTGCTTTAAATCCTACCAACATTATTTAGGCTTTGAACTACATTTTCAGATTGCCTAATGGAGCTCTGGGTCAGTTGTTTCCAACTGGAGTAGCTGCAAGAGCCTACATTTAAATTACTGAAAATTACATAGAAGATGCTGTAACTGAAGTGCAGTAATAAAGCTGCATTAGTGGAATCTGGACCACATAATATATTTCTCCTTCCCCTTCTGTGATTTAAAACTTTTTTGTAATTCCTTGTTTCAACACAACAGTGGACACCTGGTGCTGGATGTTGCTTTCATCTATCAGGTAACAGGAAAGGAAAAATATGACTCTAGATCAAATAAAAGAGATAATTCTATTCAGAACAGACTGTCAAGGTCTTTTTCTTTCATTTTTGGTATACCTGAAATATGTATGAAAACATAAAGTCTCTAAATGATTACCCATTTAATCAACATTAAAGCTCACCTTAAATTTTCCTATTATTCTATCTTCAGAGTCAGCATGAACTTCATCATTAGATTTTCCTCTTAAGAGCTGGAAAGTTTTCACCCAGTCCTCAAAGTTGTTAAATTCACTCTCCAAGTCTCCTTCATAAATCTTTGAAAACAGAATAATGTTTATTTTTTTGTGGTGCTGTAATATATTTATAGCAACTTTTTTATTACAGGATGACTAGAAATCCATTTTGACTCAAAATATAAATTTTAATAAAACCAAGGTTTTGCAAAAGTCCTTCAGGGAAAAGAAGTTAATTCCCCACGTAAAACAGGAGCAGTTTTGTCCTTAACCAAAGTCCTTCCCAACTACTGGAATAGCATGTTAATGCAGCAGGTAGAAGTGGCTCCAGAAGGGTCAGAATGAACATGTGTAAGCACTGGTGTGGGTGAAAAGCAGTGTGGATGTGCTGCTCTTTACCTCTGTTTCCTCTCTGCAATGTGCCCTTAATGTACTGACCCATTCTGTTATGTTAATATGGCAGAACATGAAAGCAAGGCAGACAATAATAAAGTGCTGTGGGGACAGAGCTCTAGCACAGGTAAAAAGACCAAATAATTTTTAAAAGGACTCTTTTTTCCAACACTTCCCCCCAGTAATTTATGAAGTGTTATTCAGTGTGAAATAGAAGGGCCTCGACTATTGTCATCTCTTAAAAAATGGAACAGGAGTTTCAAATTCCCCTTTATTCAGATACAATCTAATCCAGGCAGTCCTAATCTTTTCAAACTTCCTCATCTCTCCAGTCATTTTGTGTGACCCATATAGTTTTCTTTAAATTCCTTCTATCATTACCCAACCAAATCTGATGCAAGTTGAATATTGCCTCCCCATCAGGGAGGATGCACTAGTGATTGCAGCGATGCTTTCCATACTCTTTTTTTTTTTTTTTTAAGTCATTCTGAACAGGCAGTAATATTTCCAACATGAAACTTGCAATTTCCAAATTCAGTGTTTTGCAAGTGAACAACAAAACTGAATTTTCACAAAAGTCTCTCTGGGTGTGTCTATACTGGCAAATTGAAGATCTAAGGCCAAGTGGGCCACACCTGCCCTAAGAGACCCTGGTTTCCTCGATACCCTGTGTGCTGATGTGCGTTATCACTATCATTTTCTCCGTTTTATTAATCTTAAAATGTCTGAAATAAATATAAGGAGGGTGTGCTAAGCTCAGCTGCTGATGTCAAGCTTTGGGGAGACTGAATAACATCCTTACTTCTCATCCTTACTTCTCTCTTACCTGCAGTGTTGCTAGATTTGGAGTTTCTTTCTGTTTCTTTTTCAATGTCTTATCCTTTTTCTTTTTGTCTGGCTCCTCTTCTATGATCAATGCAACGTGGTCAGAAGTCTGCTTATCTGCAGAGATTTCATGATATCATGTAAGTTTTAGTGAGCAAAGCATGACAAATGCTTCAGGTAAGGATGCAAAATATATTTTAAAGAGTCCCCCTTGCCCCTTGATGAGCTTGGTGGACCAAGTGTGACAGTGTCCTATATGACTCCTTCTCCGCTGGCCATCTCCCAGAAACACCCTCTTCCTTCCTCTCTGACTCTTCCTAGACACAAACTAACAGATCTTAACAGCTTTCATGTAAAATTCAAGGCTTATTTAAAACTGGAAATCACTATTTAAACTGACTAGTACTTCAGATGTCAGGTGATCCAAGTCCTTCTCTGCTCAAAGGTATCACAAAATAGAGTGTATCTTACCTTGTGAAAGGCTAGAAGTATAAGAAATGGGGGGACATATCTGACCAACCTCAAGCCAGACTCCAAACACTGAGAGGGGACTTCCCAACAAAAAGAAGGTGAGCCCTCAGAAATGGTACTGAGATGGTTTAGTTCTTTGGTTGAAATCTGGATGTTGAGTTCACTTAATTTTTTAAGTAGTTCATTTGTGTTTGATATTACTAAATATTTAGAAATATATATACATATATATTATCCAAATGTATCCTGTACGTATAATGCTCTTCATAGCAGATGGAAATACGTAACAAAAATTATCAGAATTTACAAGATCTGAAGTCATCAGTCAAAACCAATATGCCACAACTACCTGAACAGCATGTGGGTGGATGTCACAATGTCAATTACATTTCTGATTGTAAGATAGCATTACACCTTTGTGGAACATTTTCTATCTAAATATTTCTTCCATGTGGACAAGTGAGTTTCACTCAGGAACTAATCTCTGCCTCATCTCTGAAACACCATCATTTCCAGAACTAAACCATCAGACATTTAGGTTTTAACTTCCATCCAGAGCAATCTCAACACCTCCTTTAAAATAGAAATCACCTTGATCACAGGTGAAGTGCATTTAGCTCTGGCATGGGAAGATGCTATAGTTTAATAATGAGTAGCAGCTCTGTGTAAGCAGCAAACATCTTTTTTTTCATCCTCAGCCTGTTCAGTCACATTTGTCCAAAACCAAAAAATTTTCTACAGCACTGTTTGATTGTGGGAGGAACTGTTAAACCATGGAGTATACATGTAGGAAACACATATCCATACACACACATTTATGGCCAATTTGGGGGGGGGTTTATGCAAAAAAAAATTCCTCTAGAACCTGAGCTAGACACAGAGCTTTTCAGCTACGGGAGTAACACACATGACTACAGAGTGTCCTAGCAGAAGCTGTTCCTGCATCATTGATTCTGAATTGGATTCAAAATTGAGAGAAGCTTCTTTTTCTGAACCTGTTACAAATGCAACCTAAGATTAGGATAATCTCCACCTTCTATCATTTAGGACTTTGACTTTGCAAACCTTTGTGCATGAGATTTGGATGACAGGAAACTCATGTTAACCCAACGCTGGCTGTGAAGTTTTAACCTACCCACCATCTGATGAGCTGCAAAGGAAAGAACCCAGGATACTGGCAGTACTCTGTGACCAGACATTAACTCTTGACAGTAAAATAGTAGAGAAGCAAAGTATTAGGAGTACAAAATAATAGGAAAATGCAAATAATTTACTTACTGTCTTCGGGTTTTCCCTCACCGGAAAAAATTCCTTTTGCCTTTCAAAAGAAAAAGATAATGGACAAACTCCTCATTATGAATACCAAGAAGGAATAATTTAGCAGTAAATCTACTTTTACAACATTGCTCATCTATGAGAGTTTTGAGCATGCTGAGTGACTTACCTTTTGCATTTTGAGCACAGAAGCATAGTATTTTGACCACCAGTCAATAACATTTTCAGCTGATTCATCTGCAATCGTTCTTTTTTTCCTCTTTGTTGACCTACGGATGGACTTTTTCGTATCCTACAAAAACATGGGGAAAACAATGTTGAACTCTAGAACTGATTAAAACTAATCACCTGACTCATGACATCAAGCATGAATGGATGGATATGAAGAAATTTCATAGAATCATAGAATGAATCATAGAATCATAGAATGGTTAGGATTGGAAGGGACCTTAAAGATCATCTAGTTCCAACCCCCCTGAGCTCCAAGAGCTAAATAAGATGCAATATAAATGTGTCTCTGTCTTTTACTCCAAGAAACTTCATCATGATCATCATATTATTAAGGTCATCTCTACATTACCTACTGACGATGCCAAAACCTTGAACATTTGAAACATTGCTACAGGAGGAACCTGTACAACAGACGAATCTACACAATGATGTTTTAAGGGATGTGAACATTCAGAGACAAATCGGTTTCTCCCTCTTCAGTCTACAAGTATTTTAAAAACCTTTTTAAATACTTTATTGCCTTTTGGAAGAAGAAAGAGTCCCAACAGTTGCTGCAGTTAAGCTGTTCTCTTCTTACAAAGAGCTAAAATCTGATCCTGAAGATTACCTGCTTATGTGGCAAATCTTACTAACTTCATTCTTGGCAAAACTTTGTCCCTTGTTAAATAGAGTGTTTCATTCTACACCCTTACAGAGGGTTGTCAGCTTGGCTGGGAAGGCAGGAGCAGCAATAGATAATTGGGAATGATAGATAGATAGATAGATAAGTGGAAATGATAATTAATATAACACAGATGGTTAAATTACAGGGTTGCCTCCAGGACTCTTTCCTTGCTGCCACACATTACAGTTGTTCTGTACTAGATGAAAGATACAGACTGGAGTGTACATGTAGGAAAAAGAAATCCTTGCAGTTTCTTTGACCTAATTATGAAGGATGCTGGAAATATCCGACCACTGAAACATCAAAGGTTGAAGAAGGTTGAAGAAGCATGCTTTATGTAGCTGCAGAAACGGCTTCTGATATGATACTCAGTCCTGCATCGTCTGCATTCATTGTCAATAAAAGAGTGATTGTGATGGGAGAAGCTACAGAGAAAGGAGGAGTATATACATCTGAACAAAAAATAATGTATACAATCTAGAGAATATACTGTGCTGTAAACACCATGCTGACCAGAATTGCTTTGTTTTCCTATATTTTCCTATTTTCTTCTAGCCAAAGACTGAGAGTAGATTTATACTTTGACCATAAGGTCTTTTGGAAACAGATTGTCTGCTCCACATTTGTACAGCATCTAACACAAGGGGGTTTTCATCCCTGCCTAATTGCCATGGACACAGAAACAGTCATTCACAGTGAGAATTTTGCAATTAAGTAGATCATTCAAGGCCAGGAAAAGCAAAAATTCTACTACTCCAGTAGTGCTTGCCCATGAGAGGACCATCTATTACACAAGGAAAGAAAGGAATTATGGAAGCAAGGAAATTATGTGGGATAAAAGTCACGTTGCTAACTAGTTCTCTCAAGGGCCAGCAAGATAGCACGGATGTTAACATCAGTATCCAGAATCTCTAATCTTGAGATAAACAAGAGATTACTACTTTATAAGGAAGGGTTAAAGTCTGCAAGACTGTAACAGAAAGTTAGCTGGCAGTTTCAGCTATACCCACCTTCTGTTTTCTGTCTTTCCCTGGTTCAGCGGCAGAGTGCTCTGGTTCAGAGGCAGGAAGTGTTGCAATATATGGGTCTGGCTCTACCACTGTGCATTTACCTTGTTCCACCTCGGCATAGATGTGATCAGCTAAAACTGGTTCTTCTTGGGCTACCTCAGCATGCTGGGATGACTCGGGGGAAGCTGAAATTGACACTTTGCAAGTTAGGTAAGATTTTGCCAGAAATGCTATCCTCACATTTAATGATCATCAAATGATCGTATCATTAAGGGTTTGATCCTACACTCAACACAATAAAGCATATTTTCTAAGTACATGCCTTATGTTAAGCCTCTGAGTAGGTCCTTTGTCTTTTTATTTGGATTATGTCAGGATTGGACATTTACCTTCCTCAATTTCTACAGTGTCTAGTCTGTTTGGTGTAGCTTGAGGACCCAACTGGGTCTTACATAGGAATTGCTTAAGGCAATTGATGGTATGTGTTCCAACAAGAGTACTCCTCCCAAACGCTCTCCAGTCGACCACGCAGATGCTTAGTGGTGGATGTAAGAGTTCATTTTCAGGCAGCTCCTAGTGGAGGAGGACAAACAGCAGCATGAGAAATGCTAGAGAATATAGAACACTTAGAGAATATTTGTTGTGCACAGCAATGAGGCTTTTACTCTTCCTTCCCCTCTCCTCCTCAGCTATTAACACACTCAACATGCAAAACGCATACAGCATAGGGAGTATAGTTCTGTCCACATTTTTCTGCAAAGTCTGGAGAAAGGCTTGTCCTTAAGAATAGAGAGTGGACCGTATGGACTGTGCAACTGAGCTGAGTCTCATGTTGTCACATACAAGCATCTCTAGTTAGAATAAACTGGGAGAATCAGGAATGGTCAGAAGGAATGAACGCTGGGTTGGAAGTTGTGAGTCTTAATGTCACTGCTGCTTTGTTGGAGGCTATTAACCCTACCTGCCTCAATTTCCCAACCATGAGATGTAGACACTGGGTCCTTACATGTCTTATAGGATGAATTAATGAATTACAAAAGGGGAAACAGCTCTTTGGACAGATGACATACAATGGAAGGACCCAACCATGAGATGTAGACACTGGGTCTACATGTCATTACATGTCTTATAGGATGAATTACAAAAGGGAGGCTATTAACCCTACCTGCCTCAATTTCCCAACCATGAGATGTAGACACTGGGTCCTTACATGTCTTATAGGATGAATTACAAAAGGGGAAACAGCTCTTTGGACAGATGACATACAATGGAAGGTAAAAATACTGTAGCAACTGTAGTTCAGTATCCAGGTTAGTGTTCTGATATCCTTTTGTCCTATAAATAAACAACTTCCTTCTTGATGTTAGCAACTACAGAAAATCATACTGATTATTTTTGTCTAATGTTGACCTTTGTCCAGTGAAAATACAAACTCTTATAAGTCAATCAACAATAATTAAATTTGCAGTCCATAAAAGCAAGTGTTACAATATGAAAAGGTCCAAGGCTCATGACCCAGAAACAATCAATCCCCTTAATAGCCAGTAACATGCAAAGGAATATTAAAAGAATTTAAAGAAAATAAAGGAAACTGAGCACTACCCTACAAAATGGAAAAGGAGGAGGAAAAAGTACTAAAAATATCCCTGTGTGCTGGTTTTGGTTGGGTTAAAGTTAATATTTTCCTCGTAGTAGCTGGTATGGAGCTATGTTCTGGATTTGTGCTGAAAATAGTATTGACAATGCAGAGATGTTTTTGTTATTGCTGAGCAGTGCTGACACAGAATCAAGGCCTTTTCTGCTTCTCCCACCACCCCACCAGTGAGCAGGCTGGGGGTGCACAAGCAGTTGTGAGGGGACACAGCTGGGACAGCTGACCCCAACTGACCAAAGGGATATTCCAGACCATATAACGCCATGATCAGTGTATAAAGCTGGGGAAGAAGAAGGAAGAGGAGATGTTCAGAGTGATTGTTTTTGTCTTCCCAACAACTGTTAGTGTGATGGAGCCCTGCTTTCCTGGGGATGGCTGAACATCTGCCTGCTGATGGGAAGTAGTGAATTAATTCCTTGTCTGCTTTGCTTGCATGTGTGGCTTTTGCTTTATCTATTAAACTGTCTTTATCTCAACCCATGAACTGTCTCACTTTTACCATCCTAATTCTCCCCCTCCATCCCACTGGGAAGGAGTGAGTGAGCAGCTGTGTGGTGCTTAGTTTGAGCCAGCAGTGTGCCCAGGCATCCAAGAAGGGCAATGGCATCCTGGCCTGTATCAGGAATTGTGTGGCCAGTAGGAGTAGGGAAGTTATCTTATCCCTGTACTCAGCACTGGTGAGGCTGCACCTCAAGCACTGTGTTCGGTTCTGGGTACCCCAATACAAGAGGGACATCGAGGCTCTGGAGTGTGTCCAGAGAAGGGCAACAAAGCTGGTGAAGGGCCTGGAGAACAAGTCTTATGAGGAGTGTCTGAGGGAACTGGGGCTGTTTAGTCTGGAGAAGAGGAGGCTGAGGGGAGACCTTATCTCTCTCTACAACTACCTGAAGGGAGGTTGTAGAGAGGTGGGTGTTGGTCTCTTCTCCCCAGTAACGGGTGACAGAAAGAGAGGAAATGACTACAAGTGGCACCAGGGAAGGTTTAGGTTGGATATTAGGAAAGATTTCTTCACAGAAAGGGTAGACAAACATTGGAATAGGCTGCCCAGGGGAGTGGTGGAGTCACCATCCTAGGCTGCCCAGGGAAGTGGTGGAGTCACCATCCCTGGCGGTATTTAAAAGATAGGTAGATGAGGTGCTCAGGGACATGGTTTAGAGATGGGATTGGTAGTGATAGGTTAATGGTTGGACTTGATGATCTTAAAGGTCTTTTCCAACCACTAAGATTCTACAATTCTAGTTGCTGACTGCGTTAAACGACGACACCCTGTTATCTGCCAACAAGTTCCAACCTATCAGCAAAAATCTGATTGCAACATATTTCCTTGCTTACTTGGGACATAACTTGAGGAACATCATCATCTTTTATCATACAGTTGTAGCTGAAGTCTTTTAAAGCATCTTTAAATCAACAGCTTTTGCATAAAAACTGATGTCCCTTAGTATTTAAGCAATCCACAGAGGAAATTATTTGACAAGAAAGGAAGGAAATAAGTAATTAACACCTTGCCTAAACCAAAACCAGACAGACAAGGAGTGGTATGCTGTACTCACCACTTCAAACCAGTCTGCAAGGCCACTGAAATTTGGATTTTTCTTGTAGCTCTGGATGACAGAGGATTTCACTCCTTTCCCTGCGCATTCAATGAGAACCTGGGGACGATCTACAGAAAGGAGCTGGACTTTTTTCAGCTCTCGAACACCCCAGAACAGGACCTGTGGTGGGCAGAGAGAGAAACATTAGTAGTCTGCAGACAGCTCTCAGCCTGGGGGAAGCCACTGCTAGGATCCCATCACTTCATATCCCTTTGGGATTGCAAGAAATGAACAAACAACTTCAATCTGACAATCAATAACCATCTGGATTATGGTGGAACTCAAAGCAATTAATAAAATCCAACTGTTATCAAGATGTTATTGCCAGCAGCAAGCCATAATAATCACATTTAACAGCAGGGGCTTGGTTTGTTTAAAGTGCCAGAGCTGTTGAAGGAGCAAACAAATCTCATCAGTACCCAAGTCAGATAATACAATGAAATTGGGTACTCTGAGGTGTGAACTGTTTGTAGGCACATGACATCTGATATGTTAGAGGTGACTAACACAGGTTTGCCAGCTGAAGTAGCCTTCAGGTCTGCAATGGATAGTGGAGGTCTCCAAGCAGCTTTCCTTCAAAGGACCATGCTCTTGGAGGATGAGGAGGAAATAGGGTCTGTAAAATAGGAGTCTGCAGGAAAAATGCGGGGCCACCAGATTATGCAAACAGTGTCTGACTTGGCACAGCAAAATGGGGAAATAAGCAGCTGGTACGAAGGCTGCAGGATGAGTGACAGGGAGCGGTGAGGCTGGGTAGCATCCATGCATTACACTAACATGAAAAGCTGCCACATTTCCCTGCTTTCTAACATAAGGGGACTTTGGGCCTGAATGGTGCAAGAGAGGAGGTGCAAACATTTGTACAAAGGCAAGTGACATTCCTTGGCTGAAGCTTGTGACCCAGAAAAATCCCAGAAGGTGACTGATGCAGAACTTAACCTTCAGTGAAGTCAGCTGCAAGGGGAAGCTCTCCATCTCCTGTAGACAATTCCCTGGGCTGCACACAGTACAGGTCCCTCAGCCACTCTCTGCCACGGGAGCTGTCCTGTCCCACTAGGCTGGGACTGAGACGTAGCCTATGCTGGCCTCAGGTGGAAGCACTGCCTTGCATGCCCAGCCTCAGAGAATCAATTTGATCTGAGCTTACTACATTTATTTTAGGATCCATATGCTATATTTACATTATTCCTATTGATCAGTATTTTAAAATCATCATCCCTTACTGTTACAGTTCAGTTAGAGAATAACAGGAGCTCAGATTTGGAAATGGAAATATTTCAAGTAACTCACCTCCACTCTATACTTGCTTAAAACAGGTCGGATGTTAGCTGGAACTGGGTAAATCTGGCTAACATCTGGTGGATCCAGTGGGGGAAGTCTGCTTGGATCTGACTCAGGAATCTGAAAAATTAAGCAGCCATAACTCATGCTGTTTTTTAAAAGAATAAAACCAGTATCAGAAGTATATGTGAATGGTGCATAGAATACATCAATTTAATGCAGTTTTGCAAGACCCATTGCAGAGCAGACAGGTTGTGCTGTGAGAGGAATGTGACCTGGATTGCTATCTGTCCTGCTGTGATGCTAAAACACTTGGCAGGAAGAGTATTCAATAGATTGGGTTTATGCAGCTTTCTGAAAAAAATCGCCTTTGACCTAGCAGGACATGGTCTGCCCTAAAGACATGCGTGTACTGAACCATGGTAATCCTATTTATTAAAAATGGAAAGTATGGTAATTCTATTTAATGAAAATACTGTGTGAAACTGCTTAGAAGATTTTCAAAGGAAAATTCTAGATCTGATTTTAGTTAAAAAAGCTGACGAGCAGACCATACACATCAGCTAAACTGCACATTTGCCAGACAGACATGATGCTCTTCAGCTGCTGTGGAATAGCAGTCCTGCATTATTGCCTGTTGTCAGCGTTTGAGAACTTGCAAATCTCATCTCCAGCTTTAGGGCTGGCTTTTCTCTGTGCAACAACTAAAATCTTGTGGCAGGCAGCACTTATGTTCATTTTGTGGTTGAACATAAGCCTGTCCCATGTTCAGGAGTTTATTTGGGCATACACGAGTGCCCTGTGCCAGGTGGGTGGGAGGAGAGCAAGTTCCATCACACAACTGAGGCTTGACCATGTCTTTGACATGTTCAAAAAGACCTTTAAGATCATCAGGTCTTCCACACAACTGAGGCTTGACCATGTCTTTGACTCTTAGAATCATAGAATCATGGAAACGTTTAGGTTCAAAAAGACCTTTAAGATCATCAGGTCTTGACATGCTCCAGACTCTGCTGCCTGTTTGGTTCACTTTCTGTGGCAAAACTCCCTGGCTTCATTTCCCAATCCCTTCCTAATTTTCAATAGTGTATTTATGGCCTTCTCAGTCCACACAGGGCAGATCTGAAGCCTGACCTGATTTAGCAAAATTCTACTTAGAGCAGTTGAAGCCAGCACCTGATGGTCAGTCCTACCAGAAGCTCAGGCTGTGATAGCAGAGAACAGCAGGAACGTGGGTTTCACAGGTGAGCTAACAACCTGCAGACAGAGCTCTCCTCAGCTTTCACATGGAGTGGGGTACCTAAAGCATACTGTACATATGGCTTCTGAGAAAAAGAAACACAATTTATGGAGTGCTTCACTGTTCCTCAGCTAACTTGTCACTGTTGAAAGTGCCAAAAAAGCTGAGATACAGCTCTCAAAGAACACATGAAGTTTTCTGCTTCATTTAACTAGGCCACCTGTCTGTTACCTGCACCTATGTACAGTTGCATGGCAGTTTAATTAGCATAATGGAGAAAGGATGTGAACCCTAGTACCTTGTAGGTGAAGGAGGAGATGGGTGGAAAATCTATCTTCTAGCATAGTACCTGCAGCACATGTGAGTATTCACATAATTAACAGTAATAATCTACATGCATGTTTACTGCCTTTTACAATTAAAAATCCAAAGCAATTAATTTAATGGATCACATGGAACTTGAGGCCAGAGATCTAGGTCTAGTTTAGTTATTCCCCAAAGTATCTGGCTTCTGCCATCCACCTCTGTGATGCTGTTTAAAAAGCCAAACAGAAACACACGGTTTTGTGAACAATACCTGCCCATCTAGAAATCCCCTGTTTAGCTTTAGTTATTCAGAGCTTCCAACTCTATATTAACTGACAGTAAACACTCCAAAAATTTACCAGATTAACTGGTACTGTAAATAAAACAAGAGGCAAAGAGCACCTGAACCAGATCACATATCAGATGTCATGTGCCTACAAACAGTTCACACCTCAGAGTACCCAATTTCATTGTATTATCTGACTTGGGTACTGATGATCAAGAAAAATATATTAATCTGCATGATACAGTAACTTATGTATGTATAATTTCTTAACTGCACTACTTATTTTAATTTTTAAAAATTAATTTTTAAAAAATAGGTATTAGTGTCTCCTCTTACAACTGTGAGAAGGTATTAATTCCCAAGGATGTGGCTTAGGAGAGGAAGGTCGATGAGATCTCACATTTGAGGATAGAACTGCCTTATAAAGAAATTTATTAAATTTCTAGGACTGCAAAACCTAAGACTGATACAAAATCAAGATTCCCTGGATCTTCACTTTTGTTCTTTTTAAGTATCCCAGTTAACTGAACAGTTCTCCCATATATTGCAAGGTCCCCAGTTTTCCAAGATCTAACAACCACTATTAGACTTGAGAATGTTTCTGTATTACACAGTGAAACTCCATTAATTTTAGTGAAATTACCTTGATATAGCTCAGAAAGGATTTTGCTTCATGGCCACAGTGAAAGTGCACAGAACAAGAGGTGAAGAATGATCTTGCACTTAAATGACAGCAGAGGAAAATACCCACAAGGCGTGTTTACAAGGGGATTTTGCTCTTTTGATTAAAAAAAAAATTAAAAAATAGTAAATCCTGAGCCCACCTTGAGCAAAGGTCTCAGGACTCCTAGTATTCATTAGTCTGTATTATTTTTAGTCTAATATTTTTCTAAATGCCAGGATGCTTTGTTATAAGAATAATTTTATCCCTCTAGAAAGACCCAGCATAATAGCATTCATTTTGAGAAAGGAGCATTCACTTCTTACACACTTTCTCAGCTCAACCAAATGGTACTTGTAAATCAGAGTTATCAAGCACTTTATATCATGGGAAAGGTTATGGACTCAGAATGAGAATAAATTAGTGATGATTTTGTTTCCACCCTCACACAGAACATCATCAGGAATCCTCTGATGGGAGTGCTTTGAAGCCTGGCAGATATTCACATATATTTTTCCTGAAAATTTCTTTAATGTCTGTATTGCTATTATCTGCCATGTGAGATGGTCAGAGTGTTGTCACTGAGAAGAGTAATACAGAGCATGAAAATAAGGACTGAATGGTCTTCAATTATAGTTATTGTTAACTCTCTAGAAAAGTCTTAGGTGTATATTTGGATATATCCCAGAAACAGTGCTGCTTCTCATCCCAAAAGGTGGCAAAACTAAATACAATGCTCTCGTTATTCATGAAAAAGTGGATTTCAATTAAAAAGTGGGAAAATTATGGCTAAGGTACTAGACTCTATCCCTCTATACCCACCATAATAAGGATATGCTCCCCATGCTGTCATATTCCAGGCTTTCACCAAGAACATAATTAGCCCATCGTGCTTAAAACCTGTTTTATCCTCAGAATATCTCCAAAACATGTCACAGAGTTCCACATTTTCCCCATTTCAAATTTCAAAATAAACTGACATAGGTTTTCAGCAGAGAGAAGTTTCCTCTAACTCATGGCTTTGTAAATTCCACGGAAATCACTGAAATCCCAGGTATGATACACCCTACTCAAGCATCCACAGGCTGGCCCCAGAGGTACGCTGAATTTGTCTTTTGTCTCACAGTTGGAAACCAGTGTAACATTTCTCTTAATATGTTAGTTGTACCTGAAAACTCAGTCTCCTTAATCCAATCCTTATGATCCACCGCTCTCTTTTCCTGAGAGGGTAAGTAGTATTGAGAGCTCTGAGGCTGCTAAAGTCAGGGCCATGTGCTACTCCAAAGAGCAGGTCATTGCAATGGTGGTGGGATTTTCATAGTTGTTTCCCTGGCCAGAGCCCAGTTTAGGGCAAGGCAAGTGACAGGCAAATGAGGCTCAGAACATGTGAGGGGCTGGCAGCAGTGTGTGCATGGGCAGTGGTCCCTGGCAGGGTGGAGGAAGTGACAGAGATTGCACGGTGACTATAAGATCCAACAGCAGAATGATCCTGCTTCAGTTGCAATTCCCACTACATCAAGAGGGTGATGGGCCTTGATGCAATGGCTGCTTTTGTGAGCCCAGGATGTAAGAGTGTAATGGTCCAGAAAGGCTAGTTTACCTCCAGAAGCTCAAATGTAGCAAGAAGGTCTCCTCCTGAAAGATTTCCACAGTGCAGTGGGTGGTAAGAAAGTTTAGGTGGCTCATAGTTTTGATCAGCAAGTCTCACCACAGGAGCAGCCACCGTAGAACCAATATATTCTGCCTTACCCTAAATAAAGGAGAATACAGTTATCAAATGTGTTTGAATTTCACAGCTGTGGCAGGAGCCAAGATGATGCAGAGTTTAGTATTTGTGGAAAAAACCTTTTTCTGAAGTAAACAGCAAGGTAGAATGCAAGGCAGCTATGAAAATGGAAGAGCTGAGTACTGACTACCTCATCAGAGCATCCAAAATTTCTGAGCTTTATATTCGGACAGTGAGACCACGTTAGAGTTTGCATGGTCAGAGATAAATCCGTCTCTCCCCAGACTCAGATACAATATTTACAGTTATGTGCAAGGGAGACGTGGGCAAGATGCTTCTGATTTCTCTAAGTTGGTCTATGGGAGCAAGATTCACTTGGGAAAAAACAAGGCCACAGCTTTGCAAGGACATAAAGCGAGTCTCAGGGCTGTTTCCACATGTTAAACTGCAAACCATTCTGAGCTCCATTCAGCAAGGCCAGCCATTTAGTGCCTGTTCGGTGACGCGGCTTTGCTTTCATACTGGCAGTAAGATGTAAGAGCCTAGGTTTTTTACTAAGAAGGATTTTGAGTTTACCACTGCATCGTCATCATACAGCTCGATTACTATCTCTGGTGGGAACTGAGCAATCTCCTCTCTGTCGCCATGAAGCACAACGCTGTTGAAAAGCAGCATCTGGTTCCAGGTGGGGGATAACGTCTGAGAAATGATCTAATGAAAGAGAGGAAAATTTTAATGAGCTATGAACTGCTTGGTTGGGAGACCTTCAGCAGGAGGTGACATCCTTTCCCACACCTGAACAATTCCTTCTCTGAGACACCACATTTTTCAGCAGCTCTTCCCAGTCAGAAGAACATGAGTCTTTTGCCTTGAGGCTGAAATCTCCAGTTTCTCCATTTCCCTGTTTACTTCACAGACCCCCCACAGACATAATCAGTATATGACCACCAGTCTGTGTAGGCAAAACTCAGTATTAAATTTAGAGGAAAGCTGTTGGTTTAGGAAAGCAGGCTTATGTCCAATGCTATTAAAATAAAGCCTTTGCCCTAAACTGGGGCCAGTTTTCACTTCTACTACAGGGTACCTTTTATAAATTTTGTTTTTACTTCAGTGTAATGACACATAACACTTTATTAAAAAAAAAGAAGAAGAAAAAGATATTTTAAAGAATCACCCATAGCTTCATCAATAGCTTTTAATTTGTTACAATTTGGCTTGCGTGGATGGTTATGGCATTTCACCACAGACAACATTTTAACTGTCT